GGTCTCTTGGTGTTTTATTGTGTAAAAATTTGAAAGAATCTCAATATCCTGTGGTGATTTATTTTTGAAAGAATTTGAAAAGTCTCGGGGACCCCTAATGTTTTTTTTTTTTGAAGAATCTTACGAACCCTGGTGTTCTATTTTTGGAAGAATATGAAATAATCTTGAGACACCTGGTGTTTTGTTCTTGACAGAATTTGAAAGTATCTTGGGGTACCTTGGTGTTTCATTTTTTAGGAGTTTGAAAGAATCTCTGGCCACTTGGTGTCTTGTTTTTGGCAGAATTTGAAAGAATCTTAATATCCAGTGGTGATTTATTTTTGAAAGAATTTGAAAATATCTCGGGGAACCCTGGTGTTTTGTGTTTGGAAGAATTGGAAAGAATCTTAGGGCTTCCTGGAGTTTTATCATTGAAAGAAAATGAAATAAATTGGAGGACACCTCGTGGTTTGTTCTTGGTAGAATTTGAAAGAATCTTAATATCCAGTGGTGATTTATTTTTGAAAGAATTTGAAAATATCTCGGGTAAACCTGGTGCTTTGTTTTTGGAAGAATTGGAAAGAATCTTAGGGTTTCCTAATGTTTTGTCATTGAAAGAATTTGAAAAAATCTGGAGAACACCTCGTGTTTTGTTCTTAGCAGAATTTGGAAGAATTTTAATATCCCCAGTTGTTTATATTTTTGAAAAAATTTGAAAGAATATAGGAGATCCTGGAACTTGGTTTTGGAAAAATTTAATAGAAACTTAAGAGTGAGTCATGATGTTCTATTTTGAAAGAATATGAAATAATCTTGAGGACACTGGGTGTTTTGTTCTTGGCAGAATTTGAAAGAATCTTAATATTCACAGGTGTTTTTTTTTTGGACAAATTTGGAAGAATTTTGAGGATCCTGGAGTTTAGTACTGGGAAAATTTAATAGAATCTTAAGAGTCATAGTGTTTTATTTTTGTAAGAATATGAGAAAATCTTGAGGACACACGGTGTTTTGTTCTTGGCAGAATTTGAAAGTATCCTACTCTTCCTTGGTGTTTTATTGTTTAAGAGTTTGATAGAATCTCTGAGCACCTGGTGTCTTGTTTTTGGCAGAATTTGAAAAAATCTTAACAGTCTGTGGTGATTTATTTTTGAAAGAATTTGAAAAAACCTCGGGCACCCGTAATATTCTGTTTTTGGGAGAATTTGAAAGAATCTTGGTGTTTCCTGGTGTTTTATAATTGAAAGAAAATGAAATATTCTTGAGGACACCTTGTGTTTTGTTCTTGACAGAATTTGAAACAACCTTAATATTCACAGGTGTTTTTATTTTTGGAAAAATTTGGAAGAATTATTGGAGATCCTGGAGTTTAGTACTGGGAAAATTTAATAGAATCTTAAGAGTCATGGTGTTTAATTTTTGGAAGACTATGAAATAATCTCGAGGACACACGGTGTTTTATTCTTGGCAGAATTTGAAAGTATCCTACGGTTCCTTGGTGTTTTATTGTTTAAGAGTTTGAAAGAATCTCTGGGCACCTGGTGTCTTGTTTTTGGCAGAATTTGGAAGAATCTTAATATCCTGTGGTGATTTATTATTGAAAGAATTTGAAAAAACCTCGAGCACCAGTAGTTTTCTGTTTTTGGAAAAATTTGAAAGAATCTTAATGTTTCCTGGTGTTTTATCATTGGAAGAATATTAAGCCGACCTTAAGGATACCTCGTGTTTTGTTCCTGGCAGGATTTGAGAGAATCTTAATATCCCCAGGTGTTTTTATTTTTTGAAAAATTTAAAAGAATATTGGGGATCCTGGAGCTTGGTCTTCGAAAAATTTAATAGAATCCTAAGTATCATGGTGTTCTATTTTTGGAAGAATATGGAATCCGGTGTTTTGTTCTTGGCTGAATTAGAAAGTATCTTGGCGTCCCTTGGTGTTATATTTTTTAAGAGTTTGAAATAATCTCAGGGCATTTGGTGTCTTGTTTTTGACAGAATTTGAAAGACTTTTAATATCCTGTGATGATTTATGAAAGAATTTTGGCGACCCTGGAGTTTTATTCATGAAAAAATTAATAGAATATTAAGGGCCATAGTGTTCTATTTTTGGAAGAATATGAAATAATCTTGAGGACACCTGGTGTTTTGTTCTTGGCAGAATTTGAATGGATCTTGGGGGTCCTTGGTGTTTTGTTTCTTAAGAGTTTGAAAAATATCGGGCACCCGTAGTCTTCTGTTTTTGAAAGAATTTGAAAGAATCTTAGTGTTTCCTGGTGTTTTATCATTGAAAGAATATAAAGACGATCTTAAGGATACCTCCTGTTTTGTTTTTGGCAGAATGTGAGAGAATCTTAATATCCCCAGGTGTTTTTATTTTTGGAACAATGTGAAAGAATATTGGGGATCCTGGAATTTGGCCTTGGAAAAATTTAATAGAATCCTAAGAGTCATGGTGTTCTATTTTCGGAAGAATATGGAACACGGTGTTTTGTTCTTGGCAGAATTTGAAAGCATCTTGGTGTCCCTTGGTGTTTTATTTTTTAAGAATTTGAAGGAATCTCAGGGCCCTTGGTGTTTTGTTTTTGGCAGAATTTGAAAGAATTTTAATATCCTGTGGTGATTTATGAAAGAATATTAGCGAACGTGAAGTTTTATTCTTGGAAAAATTAATACAATATTAAGGGCCATAGTGTTCTATTTTTCGAAGAACATGACATAATCTTGTGGACATCTGGTGTTTTGTTCTTAGCAGAATTTGAAGGGATCTTGGGGTCCCTTTATTGTTTTATTTTTTAAGAGTTTGAAAAAATATCGAACACCCGTAGTCTTCTGTTTTTGGAAGAATTTGAAAGAATCGTAGTGTTTCCTGCTGTTTTATCATTGAAAGAATATGAAAAAATCTTAAGGATACCTCGTGTTTTGTTCTTGACCGAATTTGAGAGAATCTTAATATCCCCGGGTGTGTTTATTTTTGAAAAAATTTGAAAGAATTTTGGGTATCCTCAAGCTTGGTCTTGGAAAAATTTAATAGAAACTTAATTGTCATGGTGTTCTATTTTTGGAAGAATATGGAACACGGTGTTTTGTTCTTGGCAGAATTTGAAAGTATCTTGGTGTCCCTTAGTGTTTTATTTTTTAAGAGTTTGAAAGAATATCTGGACACTTGGTGTCTTGTTTTTGGCAGAATTTGAAAGAATTTTAATATCCTGTGGTGATTTATAAAAGAATATTGGCGACCCTGGAGTTTTATTCTTGGAAAAATTAATAGAATCTTAAGGGCCATAGTGTTCTATTTTTGGAAGAATATGACATAATCTTGAGAACACCTGGTGTTTTTTTTTGGCAGAATTTGAATGTATCTTGGGGTCCTTTGGTGTTTTATTTCTTAAGAGTTTGACAAAATCTCGGGCACCCGTAGTGTTCTGTTTTTGGAAGAATTTGAAAGAATCTTAGTGTTTCCAGGTGTTTTATCATTGAAAGAATATGAAGATAATCCTAAGGATTAATCGTGTCTTGTTCTTGGCAGAATTTGAAAGAATCTTAATATCCCCAGGTGTTTTTATTTATGAAAAAATTTGAAGGATATTGGGGATCCTGGAGTTTGGTCTTGGAAAAATTGAATAGAATCTTAAGAGTTATCGTGTTCTATTTTTAGAAGAATATGGAACCCGGTGTTTTGTTCTTGGCAGAATTTGAAAGTATCTTGGTGTCAATTGGTGTTTTATTTTTTAAGGGTTTGAAAGAATCTCAGGGCACTTGGTGTCTTGTTTTTGGCAGAATTTGAAAGAATTGTAATATCCTGTGGTGATTTGTTAAAGAATATTGGCGACCCTGGAGTTTTACTCTTGGAAAAATTAATAGAATCTTAAGGGCCATATTGTTCTATTTTTGGAAGAATATGACATAATCTTGAGGACACCTGGTGTTTTGTTGTTGGCAGAACTTGAATGTATCTTGGGGTCCATTGGTGTCTTATTTCTTAAGAGTTTGACAAAATCTCGGGCACCCGTAGTCTTCCGTTTTTGGAAGAATTTGAAAGAATCTTAGTGTTTTCTGGTGTTTTATCATTGAAAGAATATGAAGACGATCTTAAGGATACCTCGTGTTTTGTTCTTGGCAGAATTTGAGAGAATCTTAACATCCCCAGATGTTTTAATTTTTGAAAAAATTTGAAAGAATATTGGGGATCCTGGAGCTTGGTCTTGGAAAAATTTAATGGAATCTGAAAAGCCATGGTGTTCTATTTTTTAAGAATATGAAATAATCTGAAGACACTTGGTATTTTGTTCTTGGTGGAATTTGAAATTATCTTAGGGTTTTTTGGTGTTTCATTTTTAAGAGTTTGAAAAATCTCGAGGCACCTGGTGTTTTCATTTTGTCATAATTTGAAAGAATCTTTGGAATCCGTGGTGTTTTATCATTGAAAAAATATGAAATAATCTTGAGGACTACCTCGTGTTTTGTTCTTGGCAGAATTGAAAGTATTTTGGCGTCCACTGGTGTTTTATTTTTTAAGATTTTGAAAGAACCTCGGGACACTTGGTGTCTTCTTTTTGTCATAAATCGCAAGAACTTAAAATCCAGAGGTGTTTTATTTTTTAAGAATTTGAATGAATCTCGTGGGCACCTGTTGTTTTGTCGTTGGCAAAATTTGGAAGAATACTAGGGACCTTGGTGTTTTGTTCTTGGAAAAATTAAATAGAATCTTAAGAGTAATTGTGTTCTCTTTTTGGAAAAATAGAAATAATTTTGGGGTGCTTTGCTTTTGGCAGAATTTGAAAAAGTTTTACGGTTCCTTGGTGTTTTATGATTGAAAGAATATCAAAGTATTTTAAAGTATCTTAATATCCCGTTATATTTGAAGGAATTTGGAGGAATGTTGAAAGCTCCTGGTGTTTTGTTTTTGCGATAATTGAAAGAATTTTGAGAGACACTATTGTATTTTTTTAGAAGTTTGAAAGAATTTTTTGTTCTTTTGTTTGGTACAATTTTGAAAAATCTTGGGGGTTTTCGATATTTTAATATTAATGTTTAAGGTGCTGAAACATTTAATCGCAGAAAGTACTATTAAGTACTTGGATTGGTTAAAGGGGACTAGGATTCAAGAGTTAGAGGATTCGAAAATACTCCTAATACATATGCGAGTTTACCAAGTTACGTCCAAATATTTATCTTTCTGTTTTAAAAAAATCCATAATCAATTTAGGTACTTATTGATATCAGTGGTATTATTAACGTCAGCACTAAGTCGTTAAACTGATAGTAAAATACAAGGTATTTCCTACTATCAACTGGCTTTTAGCGTTTTAAATAAAAAACCAAATAAAATGGCAAACCAAAAGGTTTTAAGCGTTTGCTTTTTCATTTACTTATTCAGAGTTTTTGTGGACAAAGAAAATGCTCATTTGACAACAGTAAGTTATGATACGTTCCTCCGGCCATAACAACTTTTTGTAGCCCCAAATTTTGACCAAATATGGATACTCAAATGAAGTCCACCACGTCACTACTTCTGATGGTTACATTCTAGCCCTTCACCGCATCTTGCCTGGTAAAAACACGACCCATAAACCTGTCTTGGTACTCCATGGATTATTTGTTGATTCGAGTAGCTTCGTTTCCACTGGGGTGGACCATGGTCTAGGTAAACCACCCTATTCTTCCAAAACAAGCTACATTCTCCCTCAGGTTTTATACTAGCTGATGAAGGCTACGACGTCTGGCTTGGCAACGTCCGAGGAACCCCGTCCTCGCGCAACCACACCACACTCAACCCAAATCGAGACCCCAAATTCTGGGACTTCAGCTGGCACGAAATGGGCACGATCGATCTTCCAGCAATGGTCGATCACGTTTTGAACGTCACCCATCAAGCTAGCCTCTACTACGTGGGGTACTCCCAAGGTACCACCATCTTTTTCGTCATGATGGCAACCCACCCCACCTATAACGCTAAAATCAAAGTACATATGGCCATGGCACCTGTTGCCTATTTGGGTCACATGAAAAGCGTACCAATTCGAACCATGGCCACTTGGAAGGATTTTTTAAACTTCTGGATTAAAGTTTTTAAAATTAATGTAGTTCCTCCAAAGAATGCGGTTTTTGTTTTAAGAAGAGTGTGCTCTGTTAGTTCTAGGTTCTGTAATTTAGTTTTTATGGCCATTTTTGCGTATAAACCAAACCAAGTGGATTCCAATACGCTGACTTCTTTTCTGGGACATTTTCCAGTACCAATTTCCAGAAAGCAAGGGCATCATTATTTGCAAATTGTTAAGTCGGGGTACTTTAGGAGGTACGACTTTGGAAGAAGGATGAATGAGGAAGTGTATGGGTTTTCGACTCCTCCTTCGTACAATTTGTCGCTGGTTACCACAAAATGTCACTTGTTTTATAGTCGGGATGATTTAGCAGTGTCGGAAGAGGATGCGGTTAGAGTATGCAAGGAACTAGGTGGCGCTTGTGGTAGCAGCAATTTAGTCAATGGTACTATCAAACACATGGATTGGGTAATAGGGATCAGGATTAGGGAGTTGGTTTACTCAAAACTGTTAAGCATAATGGCTAATTATTAAAAACATGGGGATCTGTACTCTTTATTAAATCATATACTTACTTAATTTGAACACCTTGTGCTTCGTTTCGACCACCACCACAAAACTTCAAACAAAAAACAAAAAATAGACACCAGAATTAACACCAAGTAAACAAGAAAGTGCGAAATAAAAGCTTCAAAATCAATGATATTTTTCTCTTGCGTGATAAGAACCCGTTCTGTAAAAGTGTTGATATTTTTTTTGAGTAAAACGTTATTTTCCCACATTTTTAACAACGCTCCTAAAAAATTAAACAATGTTTTCTGGTCAAACTGGGTGATTGATTACCGTTTAGATGCTTCTTAATATAGACGTTAAAATCATCCACAAATGGAGTCTCAGGTCGAAAAGGCCAAGCGTGCGGGGTCACCGAAATAGCTTTTTTTGTAAATTTTCTATCATCTATAGTTGTTTTCGAACAAGATTTTCTAATGTGTATGAGATTCATGCTAAATTCAATTGGAACTAGGGCTTTGTTGGTTTCGATGTACGAAAGAACTTCACACTTATCCAACAGTAAAGTCGTCGAACTGAAAGATAATCCTAGTTGAAAATTTATATCATTTATATTTAACCTGTTAATTAATCGTTCCTCAGCTGCCAAAAATATCTGCAAATACGCAGGATTCCCGCTTAACACGATCTTGTATCCCTGATCAACTAAATCCTGCAAAGTATCATGTTTCATTGGTTTTTGAACCATCAACGAAACCAGCATTGACCTATAGGTGACGTTCACAATCAAAGCGAAGATCCACCAAGACAGAAAAATTACAAGAATCGAGTTGGAAGCAGAAGATTTGACGTTCGCACTTTGTTCGTACTTACTTTTCACAAATATCTGAAACAAATCTATCAGTACTGGTTTTACATTGGAATTCACCCACCATGAATACGTTTTCGACCGACAATTTACAACCAGTATACCACTTACTGATAACAGTTACCAACAAAGATAACAGAAACATAACCGCCAGTAAAAAGATCTCCAGAATTAAGTTCTTCAATTCGTAGTCGAACAACTTCGAGAGGTACGATTTTTGAGAAAGGTACAACAAGCCAAAAGGTTCAAATCTAAGAACATCGGTAAATTTTAAGATTTTCAGGCGTCTGTTTGTTACGGAGACACCACCAATGGCAAAATCTGCGTGTTTTAGAATCACTTGATTTATAAGAACTTCATAGTGATCACTGGGTGCCTCTATCAATTGATAAGTGAAATTCAAATACTGACTTAGAGTTTGGAGCAGGAGAAATTCTGAACCAAGTGCATTTTTGCACAAGGTGATATTATTTGCTACAATTTTTCTAGTACAGGACATGAATGGAAGATAGTCGTTGTAAGCTACTTTAAACAGATGACCACCGAAATTTTTGAAGTTGTTCGAAAAGAGAAATTCTATGTCTAGTGGTTGGTCGTACGACGACTTCTGCAACAGCGTCATTTTGCCTTTGATGTCACCACAATAGAAGCAGATGTTATATAGTTCTACATCTTCGGCGTAATTCACCACAGCAACTCCTCTAGATCCTTTTAGATTCGATAATTTGGAAAAATTTTCAGACATCGAGCGAAAGTTAGTCGGGTTTGTAAAAAATACAATAAAGTCGGTTGTTTGAATGTTCCTACATAGTGCACAAAATGTCAAAGGGTTGGATAAAAGGACCAGATTTAAATATTTGATACTACGCTTTTTTAAACTGGGTTGAATTGTGGCAGTGTCGTGGTTAATTATTTTCAGTGAAGTCGATATTTTTGTTAAAAACAAATTTGCCGCATCTTTGGTCGTGTTGTCAAAATGCAAAACTAGACGAATTTGTGGATCATTGTGTAAATAATTTGGAGAAAATTGATCCACTGGCGAAATTTTTTCTCTAATTAAATTGGCAGCAAAATGTTGATGTATATAAATTAATAACACTACAATAGTAACTACCTGGAACATTGTTGTTTAGAGAGTGGGTCGTGTGTAAGTAAACTTAGTAATTTTCTAAGTGATTAAAAAGGAATTTAATGAATTAATACACAGCAATTCCATCACATTTTCATCGTTTTGTTAACGATCAAAGTTCAAGCAAAACATTTTTAACAACATGTAACACAAGAACCTCGTTTGCGGTTTGAAGCATTCAATTCATCGAAGGTTTCCAATACCCCGATCAAATTTTTAGACTGGATTCTGGAATCGTTTGGTATAGAGTGACTAATAATAAGTGGGAATGGGCTTTTCTAAGTTAAAGGATACATTTTTTCAAATTTAAAGAGCGATAACACCAAAAGGGCAAAACAATCGGAATTGTGGTTCGAAGCGCTCAATTCCTTGAAGATTTGTGGTACCACGACCAAATTTTTAGAGCGGATACTTGAACCGTTTGGCCTAGAGTGATTAAATGTGGGAAGAGTCATTTTTGAGTTAAAGAACAATCTTTTTTTCAAACATAAAGAGTCATAACTTCAAAATAGCACAAGAATCAACATTGGGGCTCCAAGAATTCGGTTTTCTGGAGCGTTTTACTTCTGTGGGCTAATTTTTGGACCGAATACTTTATCTGTTTAATGCAGAGTGACGAATATATAAAAAGGTGTCATTTTTGAATTAAAAAATTGCCCTTTTCCCAATTCAAACTGATATAATTCGAAAATATCACGAGCATCTCGTTTGCGTTTCGAAGCATTCAATTCCTTGAAGATTTCTCGTACCACGACCAAATTTTTGGACCGGATACTGGAACCATTTGGCCTAGAGTGACTAAAATGTGGGAAGAGGAAGGGTCATTTTTGAGTTAAAGAATAACCTTTTTTCAAATTGAAAGAGACATAACTCAAAAACGGCAAAAACTGGGCATTGTAGTTCGAAGCATTCGATTTCTAGAAGATTTCTAGAACCTCGATCAAATCTTTAGACCGGATTAAGGAACCGTTTAGTCCAGAGTGACCAAAATGTAGAAAGGGTCATTTTTTAGTTAAAGACCAAACTTTTTTTCAAATTTAAAAATCATAACTTCAAAAATGTACAAGAATTGGCTTTGTGACTTGAAACATTCGATTTTACTTGTGTGGGTGAATTTTTGGGCCGAATACTTCACCTGTTTAACGTAGAGTGACGAATATGTAGAAAGTTGTCATTTTTTGAGTTAGAAAATGACCTTTTTTCCAATTCGACCTGATTTAACTCCAAAAAGGTACAAGTGTATCATTTGCGGTTTGAAGGTTCCTAGTATCATGTAGTAGTTTTTAGGTCTACAGTGACGAAAATGTGGGAAGGTCTCTTCTTTAAAGTTAAAGAACAGCCTTTTTTCAAATTTTAAGGGAAAAAACTTCAAAATTATGTCAGTTCAGTTGTCAATATCCCGTGGTGTTTTATTTTTGTTTTTTGGAAAAATTTGAACGAATTGGGACCTGATATGACCTGACCTGACTTGACCTGACCCTGGTGTTTTATTCTTGCAACTACTTGAAAAAATCTTGAGGGACGCTGTTTTTGATAGAATCTCGAAGAATCTTGAGGATTCTTGGTATTTTTAATATTAATGTGTACGGTTTATCGACGCCGCTTTTTTTATTTGTTCTCTGTACGGTAATGGCTCACTTATTTTGTATTCATGATCTTGATAGTGATGGACTTTGATCTTAGCTGGTTAAGTGGGGAACTTGGTGCTTGTGTCGAGAAACATCTAATCACAGGAGGTACTATTAAGGATTGTTATGGGAGTCAGGGTAATCGAAAATTTTCCTTGTAAAGGTGCGAGTTTACCAATTTACAAGTACGTGCTAATTTTTATCTTTCTGTTTTAAAACCATCCATAATTAATTACGTACTTATTGATATCAGCGTCATGACTAAACGTAAGCACGAAGTCGTTAAACTGATCGTAAAGTCCAAAGTACTTCCTATTATCAACCGTTTTTAGCGTTTTAAATAAAATACCAAGTAAAAATGGTATACCAAAAGGTTTTAAACGTTTGCTTTTTCATTCATCTGTTCAGAGTCTTTGCGGACAAAGAAAATGCCCATTTGACAACAGTAAGTTGTGACACGTTTTTCTGACCATAACGCCTTTTTGTAGCCCCAAATTTTGAACAAATATGGATACCCGATTGAAATACACCACGTGACCACCTCTGATGGTTACATTCTAACCCTTCACCGCATCCTGCCTGCTAAAAACACGATCCGTAAACCTGTCCTGGTACTCCATGGACTGTTTGTTGAATCAAGTAGCTTCGTTTCCACTGGGGTGAAAAATGGTCTAGGTAAACCACCCTATTCTTCCAAAACAAACTACATTCTCCCTCAGGTTTTCTACTAGCTGATGAAGGTTACGACGTCTGGCTTGGCAACGTCCGAGGAACCCCGTCCTCGCGCAACCACACCACACTCCACCCAAACCGAGACCCCAAATTCTGGGACTTCAGCTGGCACGAAATGGGCACGATCGATCTTCCAGCAATGGTCGATTACGTTTTGAACGTCACCTATCAAGCTAGCCTCCATTATGTGGGGTACTCCCAAGGTACCACCATCTTTTTCGTCATGATGGCAACCCACCCCACCTATAACGCTAAAATCAAAGTACATATGGCCATGGCACCAGTTGCTTATTTGGGTCACATGAAAAGCGTCCCATTTGGAACCACCTGGAACAATATTTTAAACTTGTGGTTCAAAGTTTTCAAAATTAATGAAGTTCCTCCAAATAATCTGTTTTTTGTGTTAAGAAGAGTATGCTCTTTTAGTTTCAAGTTGTGTAATTTAGTTTCTATGTCAATTTTTGGCTATAAAACAAATCAAGAGGATTCAAACACGCTGACTTATTTTTTGACACACTTTGTAGTACCAGTCTCCAGAAAGCAAGGCCATCATTATATGCAAATTATTAAGTCGGGGTACTTTCGGAGGTACGACTTTGGAAGAAGGAAGAATGAGGAAATGTATGGGTCTTCGAATCCTCCTTCGTACAATTTGTCGCTGGTTACCACAAAATGTCACTTGTTTTATAGTCGGGATGATTTATTAGTGTCTGAAGTGGATGCTGCTAGAGTATGCAAGGAACTAGGTGGTGCTTGTGCTAGCAGCAATTTAGTCAACGGTACTATTAAACACCCGGATTGGTTGATAGGGAACAGGATTGGGGAGTTGGTTTACTCAAAACTGTTAAACATAATGGCTGATTATTAATAGGGTTTTATACGTTAATTAAAGCATATAATTTGAACACTTCGTATTCCTTCCCAACCACCACCAGTACAAAACTTCAAACAAAAAACAACAAATACACACCACGATTAACACCAAGTAAACAAGAAAATGCAAAACGAAAGTTTCAAAATCGATGACATTTTTCTCTTGGTTCACAAGAGTCCTCTCTGGAAAAGTGAAGGTATTTTTTTTCAGTAGAACGTTATTTTCACACATTTTTAACAATGCTCCTAAAAATTAAACAATGTTTTCTGGTCAAGCTGAGTGATCGATTACCGTTTAGATGTTTCTTAATATAGACGTTAAAATCGTCCACAAATGGAGTCTCAGGTCTAAAAGGCCAAGCGTGAGGGGTCACCGAAACAGCTTTTTTTGTAAATTTTTTAACATCTATGGTTGTCGAGCAAGATTGTCGATTGTGAATGAGATTCATAGTAAATTCAATAGGAACGAGTGCTTTCTTGGTCTGTATATACGGAAGAATTTCACACTTATCCAACAGTAAAGTAGTCGACCTGAAAAACAATCCTAGACGCAAATTTATTTATTTATATTTAACCTGTTAATTAGTCGTTCCTCAGCTTCCAAAAACATCTGCATATACGTAGTATTCTTCCTTAAAACGATATCATATCCCTGATCAACCAAATTTGCAACGTATCATGTTTCATTGGTTTTTGAACTATCATCGAAACCAGCATTGACCTGTAGGTGACGTTCACAATCAAAGCGAAGATCCACCAAGACACAAAAATTAAAAGAATCGAGTTGGAACTAGTTGTTTTCACGTTCGCACTTTGTTCGTACTTACTTTTCACAAATATCTGAAACAAATCTATCAGTACTGGTTTCACGTTGGAATTCACCCACCAAGAATATGTCTTCGACCGACAATTTACAACCAGCACACCACTTGTTGATAAGAGTTACCAACAAAGATAACAGAAACATCACCACCAAAAAAAACTTCTCCAAAATTAAATTCTTCAATTCGTAGTCGAACAACTTCGAGAAGAACGATTTTTGAGAAAGGTACAACAAGCCAAAAGGTTCAAATCTAAGAACATCGGTAAATTTTAAGATTTTCAGGCGTCTGTTTGTTACGGAGACACCACCAATGGCAAAATCCGCGTGTTTTAGAATCACGTGATCTACAAGAATGTCGTAGTGATCACTTGGTGCCTCTATCAATTGATAAGTGAAATTCAAATATTGACTTAGGGTTTGGAGCAAGAGAAATTCTGAACCGAGTGCCTTTTCGCACAACGTGATATTATTTACTACAATTTTTCGAGTACAGGACATGTAGGGAAGATAATCCTTGTAAGCTACTTTAAACAGATAACCACCGAAATTTTTCAAGTTGTTCGAAAAGAGAAATTCTATGTCTAGTGGTTGGTCGTACGACGACTTCTGCACCAGCGTCATTTTAACTTTGATATCACCACAATAGAAACAGATGTTATATAGTTCTACATCTTCGGCGTAATTCACCACAGCAACTCCTCTAGATCCTCTTAGATTCGATAATTTGGAAACATTTTCAGACACCGAGAGAAAATTAGTCGGGTTTGTAAAAAATACAATAAGGTCGGTTGTTTGAATGTTCCTACATAGTGCACAGAATCTCAAAGGGTTGGATAAGAGGACCAGATTTAAGTATCTGACACCACGCTTTTTTAAACTGGTTTGTATTGTGGCAGTATCGTGGTTAATTATTTTCAGTGAAGTCGATATTTTTGTTAAGAAGAAATTTGCGGCATCTTTAGTCGTGTTGTCAAAATGCAAAACTAGACGAGTTTGTGGGTCATTATGCAAATAATTTGGGGAAAATTGATCAAGTGGCGCAATATTTTCTCTAATTAAATTGACAGCAAAGTGTTGTTGTATGTTAATTAAAAACGCTACAAGAGCAACTACCTGGAACATTGTTGTTTTTAGAGTGGATCCTTGAATGTAAATTTTGTAATTTACTAAGTGATTAGACAGGTATTTAATGAATTAATAGAAAGTAATTCCATTACATTTTCATCGTTTTGTTAACGATCAAGTTTCAAGCAAAAAATGTTTAACGACATTTAACACAAGTACCTCGTTTGCGGTTTGACGCATTCTATTCCTTAATGATTTCTAGTTCCACGATCAAATTTTTAGACCGGATATTGGAATCGTTTGGTCTAGAGTGACCAATAAGTGAGAAGAGTCATTTTTGAGTGGACGACAACGACAAAACAATCTGCATAGTGGTTCGAAGCTTTCGATTTCTTGAAGGTGTTTGGTACCACGATCAAATTATGGACCAGTTATATAATAATAATTTTGACTTTTTTACAAAAATCTCTTAAATTAGGTTGATCTAGAAGCAGATTCATAAGTCACAGGTAGAGAACTATATTATTAACGTATTGGAAATGATATTTTCTTGGCGAAATCAAAGAAAAAGAGCAAGAGTACCAAAAACGAGAGAAAAGGAATAGAAAAAAAAATGGAATGAAATTATTCAAAGATACAGAAGTAGACTAGGAAAAAGAAGTTCGAAATAAAAGAAGATATAGAAGCAGAACTCATCAAGTTAATTGAAGAAGCCACGGAAAAAGGAAAGAAAAACGTACGGCAAGGGAGTAATAATGGATGGAACGGAGAATACAGTGAGTTGAAGAGAAAACCAAGGGAAAAATTAAGAAAATGGAAGAAAAACAGGGAAGGAAAGAAGAGTACTTAAAAGCAAGAGAGAATTATAGGAGAAAATGTGACGAAAGTAAAAGAGAAAAACGAGAAGAATTAGAAGACAATAAATTCCCTGAAAACAGAAGAAGAAGTATGGAGATATATAAACAAGGAACGGAGAAGGAAGACTGAAGTCAGTAGGAACATCAAAATACATGAATGGAAAAGACACTTTATGAAATTACTGGGAGGTTGTGAGGAAAATTGCTGCAAAATAAATAAAGGAATCACAACGACGGAAGAAATGTGAAGAGGCTCGGAAATAACAGTTGTTCGGGACAGAAGGAGTGAAACACAAAATTTGGAAGGGAAAAGAGTTTCCTCGGCAGTGGAGAGAAGGTATAATAATCCCATTATTTAAAAAGGGGCAAAAATGGAAGAAATATATGAAGAAACAGTAAGTAAGGTGAGAGTGAATGGAATAGAGAGCGAGAATTTTTATACAGATAGAGGAGTGAGACAGGGATGCCCACCCCGCCCCGCATTGTTTGCAGCTTTTCTAGGAGATATAGATGAAATGTTCAGAAAGCACAGACAGGAAGGGTGGTAGGGAGCAAAGAGAAAGTGTGGTCGAAAAGAAGAATTGAAAACAATGATTAAAAGTTTCCATAAGTACGTACAAAAAAAGGAATTGGAAGTGAATATGGAAAAACAAAAATGGTGGTGTTTGGGAAGAAAGTAAGAAAGAAGAAGGAAGAGTGGGCATGGAGAGGGAAGAAGATTGAACAAGTGAAAGAATTCCAGTACTTAGAATACACATTAAAGAGCAATAACTCATATAGAGCGCATATTCAAGAAATGGTCCTAATAAAGTGGCAGGAATAGAATGTGGAATAGGAAAGAGAAAATTTGGACATGTTTGTAAGAAAAGAATGATGATGTTTGATAGTTTGATCAAAAGTGTATTTATGTACGGAACTGATATTTGGGAATGGAGGGAATATGAAGAAATAGAGAGAGTACAAGAAAAATACTTAAAATGGACATTTTGTATATTGTCAGAGAAGAAACAAAAAGGGAGAGGGAGAAAATGAAAGTAGTAAAGGAAGAATTAACAAAGTACACACACAGAGAGAGTATAAAAGAGAAAAGAATGATGGCGAGATTTAGGTGTGGACTTTAAGAGAAAGCGAATAATTTTTGGATAGATGAAACTGACAGAATGTTGGAGAGAAGGAGAAACAATAGAGTATATGCTGGAAAGATGTGCTAAACGAGGATGGAAGAGGACTGGCCTGGATGAAAGAAGTACGGAAGATAAGGGAACTAAGGCAAGGGGTGGGCAAGCAGAAAGAGTAGAACAATTATTATTATATAAAACTCGAATATTTATTGTATTTAATAACAAATTAATACTACTTAGCAAAATTGGGGGTATTTCTTTTCCACCACCAACAATACAAAACTTCAAACAGAAAACAAAAAATAGATACCAGGATTAACACCAAGTAAACAAGGAAATGCAAAATAAAAGCTTCAAAATCAATAATATTTTTGTCTTGCTTCCTAAAGGTCCGTTCTGAAACAGTGTAAATATTGTTTTTCAATGAAACGTCATTTTCCCACATTTTTAATAATGCACCTAAAAAAATAAACCAGGAATGAAGTCTTGTCAAGCTGAATGAATGATTAACTCCTTACCATTTAGAAGTTTTTTAATATATTTGTTAAATTCATCGATGAATGGAGTTTCAGGTCTGAAAGGCCAAGCGTGTGGGGTCACTGAAACGGTCTTTTTTGCAAACTTTCTGACGTCCACAATCGTATGATGTACTTTAGAACAATATTTTAGATTGTGGATGAGATTTAAGGTAAATTCGATACCCACAAGGGCTTTCTTGCTTTGAACGTATGGGAGAATTTCACACTTATTCAACACCAGAGTCTTCGATCTGTAAATAACGCTATACGCAAATTTGTGCTACTCCTTTCATGTTTAACCTGTTAATTAATAGTGCCTCAGCTTCCAAAAACAGCTGCATGTAGCCAGAATCCTTCCTTAAAACTATCTGATATCCCTCATCAACTAAATCTTGCAATGTATCGTCTTGGACTGGTTTTTGAATCATCAACGAAACCAACATCGATCTGTAGATGACGTTCACAATCAAAGCAAAAATCCACCAGGACACAAAAATTACAAGAATCGAGTTGGAAGCAGTAGTTTTCACGTTCACACTTTGTTCGTACTTACTTTTCACAAATATCTGAAACAAATATATCAGGAATGGTTTTACATTGGAAAACACCCACCATGAACACGTCTTCGACCGATAATTTCGAACTAGCGCACCATCTGCTAAGAAAATTTACGAACAGAGATAACAAAAACAACACGACTAACAAAAACATCTCTAAAATTAAGTTCTTTAGTTCGTATTGGTACAAGTTCGACAGGAATGATTTTTGTGGAACGTAAATTAAGCCGAAAGGTTCAAATCTAAGAATGTCTGTAAATTTCAAGGTTTTCGTGCGTCTGTCTGTTACGGAAATGCCGCCAATGGCAAAATCTGCATGTTTTAGAATCACTTGGTGTACGAGATCATCATAAACATCACTTGGTGCTTCTATCAGTTGATACGTGAAGTTCAAATGTTGACTAAGAGTTTGAAGTAAGAGGAATTCGGAACCAACTGCTTTGTTGCACAAGGTGATATTGTTTACTTTAGTTTTTTCACTGCAGTACATAAACGGAAGATAATCTTTGTAAGCCACTTTAAACAGATGACCACCGAAATTTTTGAAGTTGTTCGAAAATAAAAATTCTATGTCCAGTGGTTGATGGTACGATGATTTCTGCAACAGTGTTATTTTGCCTTTGGTATCACCACAATAGAAGCAGATGTTATATAGTTCTACATTTTCGGCATAATTAACCACAGCAATTCCTCTAGATCCTCTTAGATTTGATAAGTTAAAAAAATTTGTAGGCATCGGGAGAAAAGTAGTTGGGTTTGTGAAAAATACAACAAAATCGGTAGTTTGAATATCCCTATACAGGTTAGCAAATGTCAAGGGGTTGGATAAGACGACCAGATTTAAATATGTGACACCACGCTGTTTTTTCAAAGCAGGTTCGATAGTACCAATGTCATGGTTAATTATTTTTAGTGGAGTCGATAGTTTCATTAAAAATACATTTGCGGCATCTTTGGTCGTGTTGTCAAAGTGCAAAACTAGATGAAATTGTAGATGATTGTCTAAATAATTTGGAAAAAATATATCCACTAGCTGAATTCTTTCTCTAATTAAATTAGCAGCAAATATATTATTAACCAATAACACTAAAATAGCAGCTTGTCGGAACATTGTCGTTTTGTCAATGGCTGCTTTATAAGTAATAAAAAGTTATTAAGTGATTAAACAAGTATTTAATCAATTAAGGAAAAACAATTCCTTTACATTTTCATCGTTTTATTAACGATCAAGCTTCAAGCAAAACATTTTTAACAACATTTAACACAAATATCTCGTTTGCGGTTTGAAGCATTCTATTCCTTAAAGATTTCTAGTACGACCATCAAATTTTTAGACCTGATACTGGAAGCGTTTGGTCTAGAGTGACCAAAATGTAGAAAGGGTCATTTTTGAGTTAAAGAACATTTTTTTTTTCAAATTTAAAGAGTCATAACTCCAAAATGAAGCATTCAATTTTCTGGAACATTTTACTTCTGTGGGCGAATTTTTAGACCGAATACTCTATCGGTTTAATGTAGAGTGACGATTATGTAGAAAAGTGTCATTTTTGAATAAAAAAATAGGTTTTTTTCCAAATCAACGTGACATAACTCTAAAACAGCGCAAGGATTTCATTTGTGCTTTAAATCATTCGATTCCTTGAAGATTTCTAGTACCACGACCAAATTTTTAGTGCGGATACTGGAACCGTTTGGCCTAGAGTTACTAAAATGTGGGAAGACACATTTTAAAGTTTAAGAATAACCTTGTTTTAGATTTAAAGAGACATAACTCTAAAATGGCAAAAAATGGCATTCGATTTCTTGAAGATTTCTAGTACGACGATCAAATTTTGGGACTGGATACTGGAGCTGTTTGGTCTGGAGTGACCAAAATGTGGAAAGGGTCATTTTTGAGTTAAAGAACAATTTCTTTTCGAATTTAAAGTGTCCCAACTTCAAAAAGGCACAAGAATCGGCATTCTGGCTTGAAGCATTCGATTTTATGGAGTTTTCTGCTTTTGTGGACGAATTTTTAGTCCGAATTCTGTATCTGTTCAACCTAGAGTGACGAATATGTCGAAAAGTGTCATTTTTTGAGCTATAAAATGACCTTTTTTCCAATTCAACGTGATATAACTCAAAAACGGCAGAAGTATTTAATTTGCGGATTGAAGCATTCGATTTCCTGTAGTAGTTTTTAAGCCGGAGACTGGAGCTCTTTGTTCTACAGTGACGAAAATGTGGGAAGGTCTCTTCTTAGAGTTAGCAGCTTTTTTTCAAATTTAGCGGGACGTAACATCAAAACGGCAAATATCGACGTTGTAGTTGGAAGCAAAATTATGTCAGTTGTCAATATCCCGTGGTGTTTTATTTTTGAAAGAATTTCAAAGAATCTTGAAATCCCTATTGCTTTGTTTTTGGAAGAATTTGGAAGAATGTTGAAGGCCCTTGGTGTTTTGTTTTTTGGAAAAGTTTGAACGAATTGGAACCTGATCTGACCTGACCTGACATGACCTGACCCTGGTGTTCTCTCCTTGCAAACATTTGAAAGAATCTGGAGGCACGCTCTTTTTGATAGAATCTCGAAGAATCGTGAGGGTTCTTGTTATTTTTAATATTAATGTGTACGGTTTATCGACGCCGCTTTTTTTATTTCTTCTCTGGACGGTTATGACACACTTGTGTTGTATTGATGATCTTGATAGTGATGGATTTTGACCTTAGTTGTTTAAGTGGGGAACTTGCTTATTGTCTCGAGAAACATTTAATCACAGAAGGTACTATTAAGATACTTTAGTCAGAGTAATCGAAAATTGTCCTTGTAAAGGTGCGAATTTACCAACTTACGAGTACGTCCTAATTTTTATCTTTCTGTTTTAAAACCATCCATAATTAATTACGTACTTATTGATATCAGCGTCATGACTAAACGTAAGCACGAAGTCGTTAAACTGATCGTAAAAGACAAAGTACTTTCTATTATCAACTGGTTTTTAGTGTTTTAAATAAAATGCCAAGTAAAAATGATACACCAAAAGGTTTTAGGCGTTTGCTTTTTCATTCATCTGTTTAGAGTCTTTGCGGACAAAGAAAATGCCCATTTGACAACGGTAAGTTTTGACAAATTTTTCTGACCATAACGCCTTTTTGTAGCCCCAAATTTTGACCAAATATGGATACGCGAATGAAATACACCACGTGACCACTTCTGATGGGTACATTCTAACCCTTCACCGCATTTTGCGTGATAAAAACACGACCCATAAACCTGTCCTGGTACTCCATGGACTGTTTGTTGAATCAAGTAGCTTCGTTTCCACTGGGGTGAAAAATGGTCTAGGTAAACCACCCTATTCTTCCAAAACAAACTACATTCTCTCTTAGGTTTTCCACTAGCTGATGAAAGTTACGACGTCTGGCTTGGCAACGTTCGAGGAACCCCCTCCTCGCGCAATCACACCACACTCCACCCAAACCGAGACCCCAAGTTCTGGGACTTCAGCTGGCACGAAATGGGCACGATTGATCTTCCCGCAATGGTCGATTACGTTTTGAACGTCACCCATCAAGCTAGCCTCTACTATGTGGGGTACTCCCAAGGTACCACCATCTTTTTCGTAATGATGGCAACCCACCCCACTTATAACGCTAAAATCAAAGTACATATGGCCATGGCACCTGTTGCTTATTTGGGCCACATGAAAAGCGTCTCAGTTGGTACCAACTGGAACAATATTTTAAACCTGTGGTTCAAAGTTTTCAAAATTAATGAAGTTCCTCCAAATAATCTGTTTTTTGTGTTAAGAAGAGTATGCTCTTTTAGTTTCAGGTTGTGTAATTTAATTTCTATGGCCATTTTTGCCTCTAAAACAAATCAAGAGGATTCAAACACGCTGACTTATTTTTTGAGACACTTTGTAGTACCAGTCTCCAGAAAGCAAGGCCATCATTATATGCAAATTATTAAGTCGGGGTACTTTTAGAGGTACGACTTTGGAAGAAAGAAGAATGAGGAAGTGTATGGGTCTTCGACTCCTCCTTCGTACAATTTGTCGCTGGTTAGCACAAAATGTCACTTGTTTTATAGTCGGGATGATTTATTAGTGACTGAAGTGGATGCTGTTAGAGTATGCAAGGAACTAGGTGGTGCTTGTGCTAGTAGCAATTTAGTCAATGGTACTATTAATCACCCGGATTGGTTGATAGGGAACAGGATTAGGGAGTTGGTTTACTCGAAACTGTTAAACATAATGGCTGATTATTAATAAAATAGGGGTTTATACATTAATTAAAGCACATAATTTGAACACTTCGTATTCCTTCCCAACCACCACCAGTACAAAATTTCAAATAAAAAACAACAAATGGACACCACGATTAACACCAAGTAAACAAGAAAATGCAAAACGAAAGCTTCAAAATCGATGACATTTTTCTCTTGTTTCACTAGAGTTCTATCTGGAAAAGCGAAGATATTTTTTTCCAGTAGAACGTTATTTTCCCACATTTTTAACAACGCTCCTAAAAAAATAAACAATGTTTCCTGGTCAAACTGAGTGATTGATTACCGTTTAGATGTTTTTTGATATAGACGTTAAAATCGTCCACAAATGGAGTCTCAGGTCTAAACGGCCAAGCGTGAGGGGTCACCGAAATAGCTTTTTTTGTAAGTTTTTTAACATCTATGGTTGTCGAGCAAGATTGTCGATTGTGAATGAGATTCATAGTAAATTCAATAGGAACGAGTGCTTTCTTGGTCTGTATATACGGAAGAATTTCACACTTATCCAACAGTAAAGTAGTCGACCTGAAAAACAATCCTAGACGCAAATTTATAACATTTATATTTAACCTGTTAATTAATCGTTCCTCAGCTTCCAAAAACATCTGCATATACGTAGTATTCTTCCTTAAAACGATATCATATCCCTGATCAACCAAATCTTGCAACGTATCATGTTTCATTGGTTTTTGAACCATCATCGAAACCAGCATTGACCTGTAGGTGACGTTCACAATCAAAGCGAAGATCCACCAAGACACAAAAATTACAAGAGTCGAGTTGGAACCAGTTGTTTTCACGTTCGCACTTTGTTCGTACTTACTTTTCACAAATATCTGAAACAAATCTATCAGTACTGGTTTCACGTTGGAATTCACCCACCAAGAATATGTCTTCGACCGACAATTTGCAACCAGCACACCACTTGTTGATAAGAGTTACCAACAAAGATAACAGAAACATCACCACCAAAAAAAACATCTCCAAAATTAAATTCTTCAATTCGTAGTCGAACAACTTCGAGAAGAACGATTTTTGAGAAAGGTACAACAAGCCAAAAGGTTCAAATCTAAGAACATCGGTAAATTTTAAGATTTTCAGGCGTCTGTTTGTTACGGAGACACCACCAATGGCAAAATCCGCGTGTTTTAGAATCACGTGATCTACAAGAATGTCGTAGTGATCACTTGGTGCCTCTATCAATTGATAAGTGAAATTCAAATGTTGACTTAGGGTGTGGAGCAAGAGAAATTCTGAACCAAGTGCCTTTTCGCACAACGTGATATTATTTACTACAATTTTTCGAGTACAGGACATGTAGGGAAGATAATCCTTGTAAGCTACTTTAAACAGATGACCACCGAAATTTTTGAAGTTGTTCGAAAAGAGAAATTCTATGTCTAGTGGTTGGTCGTACGACGACTTCTGCACCAGCGTCATTTTAACTTTGATATCACCACAATAGAAACAGATGTTATATAGTTCTACATCTTCGGCGTAATTCACCACAGCAACTCCTCTAGATCCTCTTAGATTCGATAATTTGGAAACATTTTCAGACACCGAGAGAAAATTAGTCGGGTTTGTAAAAAATACAATAAGGTCGGTTGTTTGAATGTTCCTACATAGTGCACAGAATCTCAAAGGGTTGGATAAGAGGACCAGATTTAAGTATCTGACACCACGCTTTTTTAAACTGGGTTGTATTGTGGCAGTGTCGTAGTTAATTATTTTCCGTGAAGTCGATATTTTTGTTAAGAAGAAATTTGCGGCATCTTTAGTCGTGTTGTCAAAATGCAAAACTAGACGAGTTTGTGGGTCATTATGCAAATAATTTGGGGAAAATTGATCAAGTGGCGCAATATTTTCTCTAATTAAATTGACAGCAAAGTGTTGTTGTATGTTAATTAAAAACGCTACAATAGCAACTACCTGGAACATTGTTGTTTTGAGAGTGGGTCGTTGAATATAAACTTGGTAATTCACTAAGTGATTAAAGAGGTATTTAATGAATTAATAGAAAGTAATTCCATTACATTTTCATCGTTTTGTTAACGATCAAGTTTTGGAGCAAAAAATGACATTTAACACAAGTACCTCGTTTGCGGTTTGAAGCATTCTATTTCTTAAAGATTTCTACTTCCACGATGAAATTTTTAGACCGAATACTGGAATTGTTTAGTCTAGAGTGACCAATAAGTGAGAAGAGTCATTTTTGAGTGGACGACAACGACAAAACAATCTGCATAGTGGTTCGAAGCTTTTGATTTCTTGAAGGTGTTTGGTACCACGATCAAATTATAGACCAGTTATATTATAATAATTTTGACTTTTTTTACAAAAATCTCTTAAATTAGGTTGATCTAGAAGCAGATTGATAAGTGACAGGTAGAGAACTATATTATTAACATATTGGAAATGATATTTTCTTGGCGAAATCAAAGAAAAAGAGCAAGAGTACCAAAAACGAGAGAAAAGAAATAGAAAAAAAAATGGAGTGAAATGATTCAAAGACACAGAAATAGACTAGGAAAAAAGAAGTTCGAAATAAAAGAAGATATAGAAGCAGAACTCATCAACTTAATTGAAGAAGCCACGGAAATAGGAAAGAAATACGTACGGCAAGGGAGTAATAATGAATGGAACGGAGAATATAGTGAGTTGAAGAGAAAACCAAGGGAAAAATTAAGAAAATGGAAGAAAAACAGGGGAAGGAAAGAAGAGTACTTAAAAGCAAGAGAGAATTATAGGAGAAAATGTGACGAAAGTAAAAGAGAAAAACGAGAAGAATTAGAGAAGACAATAAATTCCTTGAAAACAGAAGAAGAAGTATGGAGATATATAAACAAGGAACGGAGAAAAAAGACTGAAGTCAGTAGGAACATCAAAATACATGAATGGAAAAGACACTTTATGAAATTACTGGGAGGTTGTGAGGAAAATTGCTGCAAAATAAATAAAGGGATCACAACGACGGAAGAAATGTGAAGAGGCTCGGAAATAACAATTGTTCGGGACAGAAGGAGTGAAACACAAAATTTGGAAGGGAAAAGAGTTTCCTCGGCAGTGGAGAGAAGGTATAATAATCCCATTATTTAAAAAGGGGCAAAAATGGAAGAAATATATGAAGAAACAGTAAGTAAGGTGAGAGTGAATGGAATAGAGAGCGAGAATTTTTATACAGATAGAGGAGTGAGACAGGGATGCCCACCCCGCCCCGCATTGTTTGCAGCTTATCTAGGAGATATAGATGAAATATTCAGAAAAGCACAGACAGGAGGGGTGGTAGTGGGCAAAGAGAAAGTGTGGTCGAAAAGAAGAAATGAAAACAATGATTAAAAGTTTCTAGAAGTACGTACAAAAAAAGGAATTGGGAATGAATGTGGAAAAACAAAAATGGTGGTGTTTGGGAAGAAAGTAAGAAAGGAGAAGGAAGAGTGGGCATGGAGAGGGAAGAAGATTGAACAGGTGAAAGAATTCTAGTACTTAGAATACACATTAAAGAGCAATAACTCAGATAGAGCGGATATTCAAGAAATGGTCCTAATAAAGTGGCAGGAATAGTATGTGGAATAGGAAAGAGATAATTTGGACATGATTGTAAGAGGAGAATGATGATATTTGATAGTTTGATCAAAAGGGTATTTATGTACGGAACTGATATTTGGGAATGGAGGGAATATGAAGAAATAGAGAGAGTACAAGAAAAATACTTAAAATGGACATTGGGTATATAGTCAGAGAAAAAACAAAAAGGGAGAGGGAGAAAATGAAAGTAGTAAAGGAAGAATTAACAAAGTACACACACAGAGAGAGTATAAAAGAGAAAAGAATGATGGCGAGATTTAGGTGTGGACTTTAAGAGAAAGCGAATAATTTTTGGATGGATGAAACTGACAGAATGTTGGAGAGAAGGAGAAATAATAGAGTATATGCTGGAAGGATGTGCTAAACGAGGATGGAAGAGGACTGGCCTGGATGAAAGAAGTACGGAAGATAAGGGAACTAAGGCAAGGGATGGGCAAGCAGAAAGAGTAGAACAATTATTATTATATAAAACTCGAATATTTATTGTATTTAATAACAAATTAATACTACTTAGCAAAATTGGGGGTATTTCTTTTCCACCACCACCAATACAAAACTTCAAACAGAAAACAAAAAATAGATACCAGGATTAACACCAAGTAAACAAGGAAATGCAAAATAAAAGCTTCGAAATCAATAATATTTTTGTCTTGCTTCCTAAAGGTCCGTTCTGAAACAGTGTAAATATAGTTTTTCAATGAAACGTCATTTTCCCACATTTTTAATAATGCACCTAAAAAAATAAACCAGGAATGATGTCTTGTCAAGCTGAATGAATGATTAACTCCTTACCATTTAGAAGTTTTTTAATATATTTGTTAAATTCATCGATGAATGGAGTTTCAGGTCTGAAAGGCCAAGCGTGTGGGGTCACTGAAACGGTCTTTTTTGCAAACTTTCTGACGTCCACAATCGTATGATGTACTTTAGAACAATATTTTAGATTGTGGATGAGATTTAAGGTAAATTCGATACCCACAAGTGCTTTGTTGCTTTGAACGTATGGGAGAATTTCACACTTATTCAACACCAGAGTTTTCGACCTGAAAATAACGCTGTACGCAAATTTGTGCTCCTCCTTTCATGTTTAACCTGTTAATTAATCGTGCCTCAGCTTCCAAAAACAGCTGCATGTAGCCAGAATCCTTCCTTAAAACTATCTGATATCCCTCATCAACTAAATCTTGCAACGTATCGTCTTGGACTGGTTTTTGAATCATCAACGAAACCAACATCGATCTGTAGATGACGTTCACAATCAAAGCAAATATCCACCAGGACACAAAAATTACAAGAATCGAGTTGGAAGCAGTAGTTTTCACGTTCACACTTTGTTCGTACTTACTTTTCACAAATATCTGAAACAAATCTATCAGGAATTGTTTTACATTGGAA